CCCTTACCTTAGATTTTTATTGATTCTTGATCTCTACGGTGAAATCTCTTGCCCTAGCTTCCTAGTGCTCTTCTCTTCTTCTCTCTTATACGTTTCTCTTTCTCTGTTTCTATGTACTGACTCTTTTCCCTTATTCTTACTCTAATATATCCCAATAATAATTTATCTATCCCAATAATTAATTATTTAATTATTATTATAAAATAATAATCCTAATAATAATAATAGTCCATATTATTCTACACGCACCCAAGTTTCTACGCGTTTAGCCATACACCCTTATCACCTCAACTTTTATAATTTCTAAGACATCTAATTACTAACAAATGCATCACATCACATCATAAAATCCACCAACACATATAATTACACCGCATCGACTAATTCACCATAATTTATATATTCACCAATTATCACCGATATTCATACTAAATTAATTAAATAATTAATCTATATTTTTGGGGTGTTACAATAATGAGGGGGCCATACACCATCAGAAATATGCTGATGCTTATTAGGGAATGGAAGTCTAAATTCAATCTAAAGAAGGATATGTTGCGTACACTTCCAATTTGGGTTAAACTCCCCCAATTGCCATTACATCTTTTTGGTATGAAGAGTTTAAGTAAAATTGGGAATGCTCTTGGAACGCCTTTGGTAATTAACCTGACAGAGACTCGTGTACTGTACGGAGGAAGATTACTCAAAAAGTCGAATATGAGTGGAAACCGCTCTTTTGTGACAAATTCCAAAAGTTTGGCCATACGTGTGGTGAAGCTAAGGCTAAAATGCAATGGAAGCCTAAAAAAACCACCAGAAGAGACTAATCCCACTATAACTCCAGTTACACAAAAAGAAAAACATCCAGAGGATATTATTCAAGTGTGGATAATGGTTCAAAGTTCTGGTAAAGATGGAGGGAAATACCAGATAAACGAAGGAACATCATCAACTACTCAATATAAGAATAGTTTTGAGACACTAGGGGTTTTGAAGGACCCACCAGTGATTCGAGACCGTGGAACATGATAGTTGCATGGAACTTTCGGGGGCTGAATAAAGTGAGTAAACTAAAGGAGATTAACTCCCGCATCCTATAACTTAATCCAAATATTATTGTGTTACTTGAAACTAGAGCGAAGAAATCTAAAGCTGCCAATGTAAGGAATAAGCTCAAGATTAGAGGTATGTATCTTGACAACTATGTAAATCATGATAATGGGCGTATCTGGCTTGTTTGGGATAACTGTAGAATTGATATCAAAATTTTCCCTAGTTCAAGTCAAATATTGCACTATGGTGTGTATGGTTTGAATAGTGATTTCAAGTATTTGATCACTATTATTTATGCATTAAATAAGCTTGATAATCGTATAATTTTATGGCATGATATTGTAAATCTGCATAGGCATCAACAAGGATCATGGTGTCTAATTGGCGACTACAACAATGTAGTTAAGTCTCAGAATCGTATTGGAGGTAATCGTCGGAGCAATAAGCTGTGGAGTTATGCAGGTTGTGTTCAACTTATAAAGATTGTTACTTTTGTTGTAGCAAACTACTAGGTGTAATGCTTCCCATTGCCCAAGTTTGTCATCCACAAAATTGATATCATTTATAGAATTTTCCTCTGGACATGTGGTGCTGGGAAAAGTAGAAAAAGTCTTGTTTCTTGGAATAATATCTATAGTCCTAGAAAATATGGGGGATTGAATATTATTTGTTAAACTACGACGATTTATCTAGAGGGGAGGGGGGGTGAATAGATACCCAATTAAAAATGATCTTTCAATATAGGTATTTAAAAATTTATTTGCAAAATAATATTGAGCAGAAGGTTTTTGGCCTAGATTAAATTAATAGTCTAAACAAACCTAGTTATTAGAAACTCAGATATGCACAAGCCGTATAGAATTAAGATAATGATAAAACCAATCACATAATAATATCTCAATTAATGGTTTAATGTCAAATACAACGATTTCCTATTTCCAATGAAATTTAAACAAAATATAGAACATTGCAATTTATCAAACACTTGATGTACGTTTAAATTTTCAAAAATTTTCCTTTGAGTTATGTTGATATGAAAATCACTTATAATCAAAGTGATTATAAGCTAATCAACACACCAATTTACACAAAACAATAACAGAAAAATTCTTACGAGTCAATCGATCAAACAATGTTATTCCACAAATTACGTAATGAAAAACAAAAGCGAGTAAAGAGATAACAGAGAGGACACAAGGATTTGCCTACACAGTTTCCCACTTTCGTCCTTACATGTGGGTACGTCTGCATCCAATTCCAATGTGGAATTAGGATACTTTCTTACTTTGCAAAAATTATTATTACAAGAGAAGTGTTCAAGTGTAATGCTACAAACCCTAACTGTTTGTTGTTGATTCAACCCATTCTCTTCTTTTGATCTTCAACAAGATCAAGGACACAATAGATTGTCAATTAACTATCTTGATCTTGCTACTCCTTTGCGTTCTTCATCTCCAAAGCTTTTGTGCACCATCAATTGTACCTATTGCAACATAAGACTTCAATTTGATTCGTCGTTCTTGTGCTACTTCCTTTGCGTTCTTTATCACCAAAGGGTCATTTGTATTTTTATCTCCAAAGGCTTTCACTAGGCCACAATCCTCTCTTGAACGTCTTACACGAAAACTCCCAAATCAATCAATGATCTTGGAGGATAAACCTTCGGTTTTTCCAGATGAAGACCCCTGTAAATCTCAATCCAATATTCTCGGTACACAGGAACCTAATTGAAAATTATCGAACCCCGTCTAGATGGCACCCCAATAAAATATTATTTTCGATGATTTGCTAGTGTGTATGCATAGGTTGGAGGTTGAAGTTGAAGAGAAATTGTTGTTGAAATGATGCATGAATGATATATTTATAGTTGAGAACTTTTTAGGCAAAAGGGAAGTTTCAGAATGAAAAATTAATGAAAAATGACCCACAAAAAAGTATGTGCTGACCTAAAAAGGTTATGTGTCGACACATTTAAAACAATAGCTACAGACTTTAATAATGCAGTACATGTGTCGATACATAAATCGTATGTGTCAGCGCATGTGCCTGCATTTTAAAGCAGAAATGCTGAATGTGGCGACACATAAGAATCTTTTAAGAAATTGCACAAATTTTTATTTTATGTGTCGATACATACGAATGTCAGGTCGACACATAAACATGTTTTTTTTGTGTAAAAACTGACTTTTCATGATTGAGATCAATTTCAAACTTGTTTTAAATGATTCCTAAGACTTCTAATACAAGAGAGTGCCACATGACATATAGATTCTGTCCAATATACATAAATGTTAAGTTTTCTTAGTTTTGACATTATGCAAAACATCTAAGGGTGAAGTTGCACTCGTATTGTTGATCTCCATACCTGAAATAACATCACTATGATGAAACTTCCGTGGAGTTTGAGTGATAAAACAGACAACTTGTGAATGAAATGGGTACACACTTATTACTTAAAGAAACTCAAGATCATGAAGATTCCATATAAGTCAAATCAATCTTGGATCATGAAATACATTCTCAATCAAAGAGTCTATGTAAATGATATGCAGAGTGAATGAGATTAGATAATGAATATAAGCAATTTCAGTATTAAGACCATGTATCGGAAGATGAGAAGTGAAGCTTTGAATGAGATTGTGTGGAATAAATTATTTTATGGTAATCCTGCTAGACCTCGTGCAATGATGATCATGTGGCAAACCTGTCATGGTAAGTTTCTCATAAAGGACCGACTACTGCATTTCGGTAAGTTAGTCCCTATAAAAAAACATGACATGATTTAGTCCCTACAAAATTATTATACGCGTAATTTTAGTCTCTGCTATTAAATTGATATACATTTTTGAATGATTATTTTACAGACATGCTTAGAACGCTATAAAAAGTTTATCGAAAAAAAAGAAACTCAAAATTTGATTTCTAAGTTGAGATTTTCATTACTTTTATCAATATGTTTTAAAATTTAATTTTTATTATTTAATTCTTCTCATTTTAAAAAATTCTAAAATTTGATAAAGAAACAATTTATATTATTCTAAACAATATGAAAAAAATTATTCAAAAATTTAAAAGCTTAAGGATAATTAAATAATTTTTAAAATTTTAAAAAATAATAAAGACTAAAACTGCATGAATAAAAAAATTTTAGAAACTAAAATTTATCATTTTTTTAATAGAGATTAAAATTAAATTTGATATATTTATTAAAACTAAAAATATATTTAACTCTTATTATTTTGTCTTGTTAGAGGCTGAATTTTCTCATCATCTTGTTTACATTGTTTTTGAATTAATATAGTCCTTTTGATTGAAAAAATAATAATATTTTTTTTAGTTTAATATTTATATTAGTATATAAAAGCAAAATATAATTTTGGTGTAGTTTTTTTCTCTTTTAAATATATGTTTTTTTTTTAAATCTTAACTTCTTCTCTGTGTAACCAACGAAGGTTATTCAACAATTTATTATCGTTCATACAATTTATTTGCTATTTTATAAATAATTTAAAATTAAATAAAAATAATAAGACGGTTTATTTTTTACTTGCGTGGAACACTAGTTAACAACAACTTCATGTAAATTATTTTAAGTTATCATATTGCAGTGTCAAAAAAAAAAGTTACTATCATATTGCATTCACGTCAATTAAAACAAATAACGTCACATTATTATTTAAAAATAAAATAATACCAACTAGAGATTAAGACTAAATGAATTTAAAACACATGATCAATTTCATAAACCCCTGAAAATATGAAGGTAAGTATAACTAACTTTCATTGGAACAATAATTAACCGAACTTCACATCTTCCATTCTCTTACCTACTACTGTTCTTCAAACTAATGACTCTATTTATTTATACCCAAACCTCACACAACACACAACTCACAACACACAATCACCACCATACCCAAAACAGAGCAAACTCTTGCGTTCCAACAATGGCACCAGCGAAAACTCTCGATTATCTCTCTCAAGAAAAAACCCTCGAGTCTAGTTTCGTTCGCGACGAAAGCGAGCGTCCAAAAGTCTCCTACAATGACTTCAGCAACGAGATCCCAATCATTTCTCTTGCCGGAATCGACGATGTTGATGGCCGTAGAACAGAGATATGCAACAAGATTGTTAAAGCTTGTGAGAATTGGGGTATCTTCCAGGTTGTCGACCATGGTGTGGACTCATACCTTATTTCTGAGATGACCCGTTTTGCTAAAATGTTCTTCGATTTGCCACCGGAAGAGAAGCTCCGGTTTGACATGTCCGGTGGTAAAAAGGGCGGTTTCATCGTCTCCAGTCATCTCCAAGTAATAAACAAATTTTATTTCCTTTTCACTATTTGTTTCTTTTTAGAAATTAATTACCCATCAAGTATGAATTATTAGTTACTTTATATTTCTAAAATGTCACCAACAAAATCTTTTTCATAAATGAAATTTATGATAAAAATTAGTACAGAGATAACAAACAAAGATAAAATCACCAGTATTTTAAGTATCGTTGAAGATATGATTTTTTTTTTTCTTTAGGGAGAATCGGTGAAGGATTGGAGGGAGCTAGTGACATATTTTTCATACCCAATCAAACAAAGAGACTATTCAAGGTGGCCAGACAAGCCAGAAGGATGGAAAGAGGTAACAGAACAATACAGTGAGAATCTTATGAGTTTAGCATGCAAGCTATTGGAAGTTTTATCAGAGGCTATGGGGTTAGAGAAAGAAGCTCTAACAAAAGCATGTGTTGATATGGATCAAAAGGTTGTCGTGAATTACTACCCAAAATGCCCTCAACCCGATCTTACTCTTGGCCTGAAACGACATACTGACCCTGGCACAATAACTCTGCTACTTCAAGATCAAGTGGGTGGTCTTCAAGCTACTAAAGATAATGGTAAGACGTGGATCACCGTTCAACCAGTTGAAGGTGCTTTTGTTGTTAATCTTGGAGACCATGGTCACGTGAGTATACCTTTTTTTTATGTCACTTTTTTTTTTTTGCGTACCTACCACAGTGCAAAGAATGTGAAAATGTGAATCTTTTATGTTCTAGAAATTATTTCCCTATTCCTCGGTGTATAAATATTTTAATAATTTTTTAATTGTATTTTAGACTTAAAAAATAGGAGTATAAATGTCCCACCGATATAAATGTTTCGGTTCATTTAAAAATGTCACACTATCATTTATTATATGTTACAGTACCTTTATTTTTTACTATGTTTTGTTTAATTTGAGCGTGACATGTGCAGTATCTGAGTAATGGACGGTTCAAAAATGCTGATCATCAAGCAGTGGTGAATTCAAACTACAGTCGATTATCCATTGCAACATTCCAGAATCCAGCACCAGATGCAACTGTGTATCCTTTGAAGATTAGAGAAGGAGAGAAGTCTGTGTTGGAGGAACCAATTACTTTTACTGAAATGTACAGGAGGAAGATGAGCAAGGACCTTGAGATTGCTAGGATGAAGAAGCTGGCTAAGGAAAAAGAAATTAGGGATTCAGAGAAGGTTAAACTTGAGACCAAACCTTTGAATGAGATCCTTGCTTAGATTTGGTTTAAGATATTATGAGTTGTTGTGTTTGAATGGTTGTTTAAGATATTATGTGGGGATTGGATGTAGTTTGGTTATGTGGCTTCGAGATCTAATAAAAAATAATATGGTCCTTAGATAGATTTTGTTGAATTAATATAATGTTTTTTAATAAATTTAAAGAAATATATTAGTGACAACTACATAAAGCCCAAGATGTGCCAGAGTCACAATATACAATTAAACGTCACGATGAAAAGAGATTAGAGAACTAATTCAAATCAACAGGCTAACACCAATTCAATTCATAACATTAACATACTATCAAAGAATTTAAACACATGATAAGACTTGAAACTCAACTTTTAATCCTTTGACGCATAAATGTTAAAACATTGATTAAAATATAACTTCATTTTCTTGAAAGATACTCCCTCTATTTTTAAATTTGGTTATAAATAGAAATGGAAGAAGTAGTTTTTGAATTTTTTTATTTAAAAATAGCCTACTACAAGTTACCGACATTCTTAATACTTATATTAGTCTTTTATATTTTTACGCAAAACAATGTTATCAACCAACATACAATACTCAACATACAATTTTGACTCATTTAAAACATCCAACGTTTAGAATTCCACTAAATCCCTCTCTCTCTCTATAGTAATACTCCATCAATTTCAAATGACAATTGTTTAAAATTTTTATACAGATTAAAAAATATAATGCAGGATCGATTCAAATTGGTTAGAGTTTATGTTGGGCCTAAAGTAAATAAAATGTAAAAAATTTGAAAAAAATATTATTTATTTTGTAAATAAAAAAGAATTGTTTGAAAATATTTCTATAAGTGCAATTATAATATTCGTAATATTTATGTAGTGAGTTCTCAACTTCAAATAGTTTTTTTAATTTATTTTTCAAGTTGATTTTATTTTATTTTACTTAATTTTAAAATGTTAATTAGCCTTATATTTGTGTTAATAGGGAGAGTATAAACGTAGAAGGAAAGAGTTAACTCAACAAGAATCTTTGCAAGGAACTCCGCCATCAAAGGAAATTGAAGTGTGGACCGAGGTTGCAGGAATAAGAAAAGGACTTGTATATGGTCGTGGGAGTGAATCTTCTTTATTTGCAAGTAGGCGAAACTATTACAGTTCATGTTCCTCGTCAACTAAATGGGTGCAAAGACATAAATTTGAAGAACTTTGTGATATGCTAAAACAATTGATGGAAAGCTTAATCTTTCAGCCCAAACCATATATTAGAGAACAAGTTCATGAAGAGGATATAGTTGATGATAATGATGATGTGGTTGATGATAATAAAGATATGTTTGATGATAATGATGATGTGTCTAATGATGGTGAAGAAATAGGTCAAGAATGACAAGTGTGATAGTGTGGCTTACTTTTGTATGTTTTTTGTAATTGTTTTTTGACTTAGGATATTCGACTTTTGGTATGCAAGAATTGAAAGAGATTTATTCTCTCTTTTGTATGTGTTTGATAATGTTGAAGGTCAATCCATTAATGATACTTGCAAGTGTAGGAGTGATAACTTAGTTTGATAACTTAGTTTGATTATATTTTGAATTGATTATGTATTTTTTTTTATAAGTATCTGATAATACTTAAATATCCTATGTTCATATTAATGTGTGTCTGTTTAATTGTTTTGTGTATGAAATAGTTTTAGATAGTATTAAATTAGATCTAAATGATTGCTTACAGGAATTGTAAATTAATAATAATAATAATAATAATAATAATAATAATAATAATAATAATAATAATAATAATAATAATAAAATTCGGATTTCATAGACCAAAATAGAGACCAATTTGACCATACAACACTTCTTAAATAGTCCCAAACTCGATCACAGTGTGAAGAGAAATTAATTCGAAATCAGTCACAAAAATGTTCTCTAAAATCGGTCAGTGACTCTGACCTCTAATTTCGGTCGCTAAATTTGGTCACCAAAGACCGATCCCTAAGATGGTCGCTACGGACTAGCGACCAGGGTTTTCGCTACTGTAAAATATTGATCACGAATTTAGTCACTAATGAATTTAGTGACCGATTTTTCAGATTTTTGGTCACTATTTAAGTCACTAAAAGCGATTCTTTTAGTAGTGTCACTCAGTGAAATTTCTCTATTTTTTAGAATTGTTACTAACTCATACAACCATGAGAATGAGAAGAAAATGTATATAACAAACTTTACTACTCTCATGTACTAATATATATACTATTTTTAAAATAAAACATAAAATATTTTTATCTTAATATCATTTTTTGCTCTCGTATGTTAATTTCATAGTTTATTTTGGTATCTTAATTTTAGAAAAAAAACTCGTAATCTCTCAACTCTTCAAAACATATTATGTAAGAGAGCTTTTAATAGGAAAGACTCATGAACCCCCTTATACAAGGAAATGATAGTTGACCTCCAACCAAATAATACAAGATGATGGATGTGGCGTTTGCGTCTTTTCTTCAAGATAATAATAGGAGTGAAATGGCCTATATTCCTTACTAATGGTGGATTGAAGCAGTTAGTCCTCTTTCCACAAACACATATCTTGGAACAGTTAGTCTTCTAATTCCTAAACCTTGCAATATTTTATACGGGTTGAGCTCACGAACCTTAAACCTTGATTTTATACAGGATAATCAATAATATGTGAGATTTTAACACCGGATTGATCTCGAACCTATGAAGCTTGTAATACCGGTATGAACTTCAACCTTGATTTTAATATCAGGCTGAACAAGAACATATGAGATTTTATCACGGGCTGATCTCCAACCTAAACTAGGATTTGATCACACAAAACGAGTTAAGCTTCTAACCTAAATAAAAACCTAAATGGAAAATATTCAACCAATATGTATACAAAAGATTCTCTTGGTGAGTTTACAATTCAACCTTTCCAAAATTAAAAAGTTTCCTCACTCACTAAAGGACTTTTCTAACAAAAACACTTAGACTAAAATATTAGTAATAGAAAGTTAAAGGAAATTTTAGAGATAGTGAGAGTTGAAAGTGTCAAAACAAGATTCTGGATAAAACTAAATGGGAAAATGGACCTCTATTTATATGTTAGATATTGGCTCAAAAAGGAATTTCCCATAAATGCATTTTAAAGCAATCCAACCGATTAGCAAGTTTCCCCAATAGATTAAAAGTTTGAAATATAATCATTTGTAAGTTTATAAAATGGAGGAAAAAATATCTAGCCATTGCGCATCGATAAGGCGCTGTCTTAATCATTTGTGACTCAATTTTGAGCTGATCTAATCAATTAGACAAATGCTTCAACCGATTAGATAAGTCAAAATATTTCCTACAACTATTTTGACTGCTCTCAATTCATCTGGAACACCTTCAACATTATTTTATTTTAGTAAAATCATTTTTAAAATATTTTACTGCGTGTGTGTTTTAGCCGTACACTTTTACGATAAAGACCTTATGTTTTACACTTTGTTCTCTCATTTCTAAAATAGGAGGTGCCACAATACTTCAAGACTTTTTCAGATGCGTTATCTTTTGTGGAAACTTGCTTTAGTAGCTTGATATGAGGCTTTAGATTACATTTCATTTGATTTCCATCATAACATAGTCAATTTTATCAAACCCTGATGATAAGGTTCACATCTTATCTGCTTAACCGCTCGTGCTGACTTATCATAAGACATTAGTTGTCATCATCAAAAGTTGATGTCCTTGTTAAAAGCATATCACCTGCAAAACAAGACTCACATTCTCCACCTTTTTTATGATGACAACACATCTCTTAGGGGAGGTGGTAATTAAAAATAATACATATGTATTTGGAGTGATTAAATCCACCTTATTTAAATAGAGAGTATACCCTATCCTCCATGAAAATATACTTCTCCCTCTTTGTCGAAATCAAAAAGGCGGGTATATATGCATTACAAAAAGTAAATATACAAATAATTTCAAATTAGACATTTAAAGAAAGGAAAACAATTATTTATTTTATTTAGGGAATTCAAAATACAAAAGGAAAATTTCTTAATTAAAGGTACAAGGAAAAAATTGCGAAAACATCTAAGAAACACTTAATTCATCTCAACATCACCATCCTCATTGGGAGCCGTTGGAGAGATAAGATTTTTTCTTGCCATTTTCTCAATGAGCATGTTGATTTTTGCATTCATTTTCCTTTGTTCATCATGAATTTCATTTTAGGATTTGGATGAAGGAGTGTTTCTCCGCTCCCTTTTTCTTCTTGGTTGTTGAGGGATAAATTCTCTTTCTTGAATTTGCATATCCCATGTTGCTTATAACACCTTGCCATATTTTGTGTGTATATAGATAGGTTTTTATTGTATGAAGGTATAGCCACAATAGGGAAGGATCTTGGTGATCAGCTCGGCATAAGGTAAGGTGCTTTTTTCATTTTACTATCTAGCATATGATGAAGAATTTCATCTGCCCAGTTTTCCAGAACTTAATTTTCTAATAACTAGACAACATGGATCTCTAATTTTGAAAGGGTATTATAGTTACCCTTCCTTGGGAATACAATACAACTTATGATGTAGTGGATTAGTCTAATGTTTGGGCGAATAAGTCCAACATTGAAGGGATATGGAATGGTGGAAGTGGGATAAATGAGGAGTGAGCAAGCAAGAGTGTCAAAGTTAAATTTGTTATCTTCAAGATCCATTTGATCATAATCTTGCTCTATGAAGGGCAGGTTGCAGATATGAGAAAAGTATTCAAGAGATAGGGTGATGAGACGTTTGTTGACTTCGGAGTTGATGATTCCATCTATGTAAGAGAGATTTATGTAGAACATTTTTACCCAATCTAGGTATCTCTCCTGGGGTTTTGGAAAAACAAAGTTCCTCAGCCCTGTAGTAGTGAATGCTTCCATGAGGGATCAATTATTGAAGAGGTCTTCATCTATATAGTGAGAGGAGAATATTTCTCTATCAAAGTAGTAGAGGTTGTAGGTGAATCTTCAGAGAAGTAT